TGTATAATTTTGAGCTATTTAATAAAATTTACACTTTAATTACTCGAAAAACGTAAGATTTCATATTATATTGATAAACAAAAAAAATAAAAATGTTGGTCATTCAGGTATTATATAAGTAATCTTAAAATAGCAATAAATATTGTAGATGTCTTATTAAATATTAACTTTATGAACTTATTTGGTTGTTAATTATAGTAATATAGCTCCATTACAATTTTTTGTTTATCAATATAATATGAAATTTTACGTTTTTCGAGTAATTGAAGTGTAAATTTTAATAAATAGCTCAAAATTATGTATAATGATTCAAAAAAAAATTCGGATTCGAGTTTTTTTCATTATTAATTTGCCGTTTCTGAGAACATTTATCATAATAGGTATTTGTGGCCTGCCACAAATACCACCACTACACATCTAGCATACTTGGACACTAGCTTCGCATTAGGCAGACACCGCACCCGTAGGATAAGAGTGCGAAGACCCGGTCTACATACGACACGCTGTACCAGGTACAGGTACGTACCTGGGCGTTCTTCCCCGCCCTCCACAACAACGGCTATGTAGAGCCGAGATCCGAGTCTCAGAGACGCCCTCTAATTGAGCCGCCTCCACAGGTTCAAGTGGTCTAGAGGCTCCAGACGGAGAGGAGACTCCCCCCGTGAGGAGATGCCATTCGCCTGGAATACCTCTAGAGCAGTGGTTCTCAAACTTTTTAAATGACGGAACCCTTTTGGGAAGCAAAATACTTGATGGAACCCTACAATAAAACAATTATTTTTATAAGTGTATTCTATATTAATCAGCATAATAAAAGTACAATGTATCCGTTACTAATTATTATTTACTTCACCACTTGGTAAGGACAATAATAGAAAACATTAAAAAAGAAAAAATCTAACTAGTGGGAGGTATGAAACTGTTTTTTATTTTTCATCAATTGCTTGATATCAGGTTTGATGGAAGAAAGTTGGAGTCTCATATCAGCTTCGGCGTCCAGTCTATTGCGATATTTTGTTTTCGTGGCTGCGTAGGTAGAGAATCCTGTTTCGCACAAATATGTAGTTGGGAACGGGAGAAGAATATCCAGAGCCATTTGGCCAAGCATTGCATATTCATCTTGGATTCTGCACCAAAAATCATTAAGAGGCGTCGTTTTGAACAATGACTCCATACTTGTGTCTGATGACATTTCTAAAAGAGATTCATATATCTCATTTGACATGTTTTCAGGCTTTTCCAAGTTGGGTAAAAAAGGATTATGAATCCAGGAGTTCACTTTAATTTTTGTATTGTGTTCTTCGGGAAAATACTTTTCAAAAGATGCGCGCATCGAACTGAGATATTGGACCAATTCTTCAAACACATTATCTTCAAACATTTCTGAGTCGTTTTCGCTAACAAACTCAGTGAGTAACGTAAAACTTTCTATTTCTTTCTTACCAATGCAAATGATCCAAAAATCTAATTTTCTTTTAAAAGTAGTTATTTTATTATAGGCCTGAAACACTGTTGTCTGTTTACCTTGCAATGATAAATTTAATTCGTTAAGTTTTTGAAAGATATCCGCCATAAAAGACAATCGGAACAACCAAGTTTTATCATACAAACGGTCCTTCAAATTAAAAGAAGTATCTGCTGAAAGAAACATTTGTAACTCGGCTCTAAGTTCAAATAGCCTTGTTAAAGTTTTTCCCCGAGACAGCCATCGCACTTCTGTATGGAGCAGCAGTGTTTTATGTTTGCTGCCATAATCTTCACACAATAATGAGAACAATCGGGATTGTAGTGGTCGTGATTTGATAAAATTAATTATTTTTACCGCTTCATCCATAACTAATTTTAGATTAGACGGCATTTGCTTCATCGCAAGTGCTTGTCTATGCAGAATACAATGACTGGAACTACAATTAGGCGCTTTATTTTTCATTCGTGACACTGCTCCTGCTGTTTTACCTGTCATCGCCTTGGCCCCATCTGTACAAATGTCAATGCAATTGTTCCAACTGAGATTATGTTCTTCAAAAAATATATTTATTTTATTAAAAATTTCTTCCCCGGTAGTGTTTGTAAGCAGCGATGAACACATAAGCATGTCTTCTTCAAAAGAACTTTTATATGGATATCTCACAATAACCAGCAGGATAGCCAAACCAGCGACATCAGTCGACTCGTCCATTTGCAAAGCGAATCGTGTATTTTGTAGACGTGTAACTAGTTCTTGTTTGACGTAGCTTGCCAGATCATGGATTCGTCGTGAAACAGTATCGTTTGATAGCGGAACAGTAGAAAGATGCTTTGCAGATTTTTCATCAAGCATACATTTTGTTATGTCTAATACACATGGTTTTATTAATTTCTCAGCGATAGTGTGCGCTTCACCTGCTTGTGCAATGCGATAGCTAACTAAGTATGATGCCTCCGTGGCCTTTTCGTTGGTAGTTTGTGTTACATGCATCATATTTTTTTGACTTTCTAATAACTGATCTTTTTTGCGAACAAAAAATTCTTTATTCTTGTCTTTAGTCTCGGGGTGTACGGTTTCTAAATGTCGACGCAATTTGGCAGGTGCCATGGAACTATTAGGAAGCAGTTTACTACAGAGCATGCAGAGAGGTGAGCCGTTGGAATCAACAAATCCGAAACTGATATAAGATTCATCATACTTCCTTTTTTTCGTCTTTGAAACCGTCGAGCTTGACGTCGTGGCACTCGTGGCATCATCTTCTGGATCGGTGATTGCTAAATTCTCCGCGCGCATTGCTTTTGAACATTCAGCGTCATTAGAAGATGTTGTTGGAACACGTTTAACACCTTTAAGCCAACGTTCCATTCTTCTTTATTTATAATGTTACAAGTCAGGATAGTGGGGTTTAAATAATGCACAATCGTTACTGCGTATAAGAGACTAAATTTAGAACCTACAGGGAAGAAATGTATAAAACTGAGACAACAGAATACAGCAGGCAGTAAAACAATGAACACCAGTTTCTCGCTAGCGAGCTTGTAAGTAGGTAGTAACTTATCGCTCCGAACGCTAATCATCAACTGACGACGCCAACGCGCGATCGCCGCTTTTATACTTAGTCCTAGACTCGATCTCAAATATTCTCGAAAATACTCGAGTCGGCACCTTTGATAAACAAAAAGCAAAAATAAAAACAGAAATTTAAAAATAGCGTTGTAAACAATATCGACTTTATCCTTTGAAGTTAGAGACGAAAGTCGCTAGTTGACAACTATAGCGTCTAATTCAGAGGCGGCTTTTATCAAAGAGACTGAGCGCTTACAAGTATACTACCCGCTCGTTTTAAGTTTGCCGCTGGCGATAGGTATGAGTGTATGACGTTCGAAATTTTTTATTTAATTGTAACAATAAAAATTGTGTACGTTAGATATTTGGGTAAAACTATGACACATTATAAGTTTTGTTGTCACGTGGGGGAGGGTACGCGCATTCCACAGACCGGCAAACTTAGAGCGAACGCGTTGTACAAGTATAAAATTGTTGAGACCAAACTTATGAGATATTGTACCAGCTAATGTAACACAAGCTTATACAAATACAAATAAATAAATAAATAACATTCATAGCGTTTTGTCTCCGCGCGGCCGTGGAGTCCGCACAGCCGCGGAGCGACCAGAGAGAGGTGTTTTGATTTTTTTATTTCTAAATTCTTGCGGAACCCCGACAGAGGTATCACGGAACCCTAGGGTTCCGCGGAACACACTTAGAGTATAGCTGCTCTAGAGGCACTCGCCAATTCTCGGCTTGTGGTCCCCTAAGAATCTCGCCGTCCCCAAACCGGGTTTACGCTGTAAAGGTCATCTGCGACCAACAGCATACATACTCAAAACATAAACTAGTTACGCCGTTGTTTGTTTTTGTAGTTTGCCATTTGTAATTCAATGAACAGACAAAACATAGAGTAACTAATCCAAGTTTATTATTAGTTTATTAATAAAGGGGTATGTGTTTATAATGTGATTCAATAAATATTTTGGCAATAAAAAACAACACATAATTCTAAAATAATTTATTTTTCGATTTCCTTTTATAAAACAATCGCTTACAATATCAATAGCTTAATCATGTTATTTATACAGGAAACATATAATAGCATTCTTTCTACCAAAAATTTTATTTACAATATTTTTTTACAGTAACATTATTATTTAACTATCAAAATCATTTAACATGAAAGGTAAAATATGCAGGTAGAAAGAAACAATAAATGAAATTTGTTTAAATGAAGTTTTTTAATGTACTTTTTATATTGTAAATTGGGTTTTAAAAGACATAAGTAGCACAAAGTACTTGTTGATTTCAAATAATAACTTCAGTACATAATTACACAATTTAATTTAGCCTTCACTATATTATTATCTTAATATTTCTTATAATGTAATTATCTATTAGCTGCAACATTTTAATACTGTCATTAAATTATTTCAGTGGAACATTATTGCTTTATTATACGCGTGATCAAGCTTTGTTCTAAATAACACGTCTAGTCACGAATCATTTGAACTCTATGATTGTAGTAGATGTATGGAAAGAGCTGCAAGAAAAAACCAGTAGATTTCCCGCGATTCCCCCCCCCCCCCCCCCTAGAATTTGTTTATCAAATCAAAAGGCTTCTACCACCCCTCAAATCTCGTTTTTATTGTTATAAAAATATATTTACTGTATTATATTTAAGGTTAGCTACATTAAATAGAAAATAACACCTTTGTGATTGAGATATACTATATTTATCTTTATAACCATAAAAAAGAAAATCGTATTCTAAGAAAAACAGTAGATTCATGTAAATAAACGGAAGAACAGTAGACATTTCAGAAAAACAGGAGATCTCCTCTAAAATCGGTAGACCTGGCAACGCTGCAACGAAACCTGTTACATAAATATCCTAAATCTGTTTCTTTCCGAATAGTAATTAATTCGCAAGAACGCTTATGTTTTATAGATATTCAGACGAAATGTTGTAGTAATTTAGACGTGTTTATTAGAACAAGGACTCATTTATAATTATAATGAATTTCAATAATCTATTATTTTTTTCATTCGTACAGAAAAATACTTCTTAGCTAATTTTAATAAGTTTCTATTATACCGTAAGCATGCTTCACAAGGCACTATTCTAGCGAGATTTAATAAACTCAACACGAGAACAACACAACTACTATTAAATTCGGTTTTCAACGTCCGAACTCGGGCCTAATATTACATGTTTTATGGCTACTAACCAATAACAATTACTTCTTGAAAGTAAAACAAATACAAATGGAAACTTTTATTCAGTACGGAACTGTGGTCTAACACGCAACGTTAGCGGTCGCGGAAATAACGAAACTAACATAAATAAATGCTTTCAAGTCTATATGTCAACGCTTCATATTAAACATTAATAATAAGCTTTCAATTACATTTTATGCTTAATCTAAATTGGCGTTCATATTGCTCATTATTTTATCTAACATCTCTGTACGAGGCTATCTTAGCTACCTATTTATAATTCATCACTTTATTATAACGTAATAAACATTTATTGAATTCGTGTTGCATTATGTCTTTTAGCTCTTATTCAATATAAAAATTAAAACAATCATCTCTGTCGATTGCCTTGCTTGATAGCTAGGTACTTACAGAATTCACGTTCCGCGTTCAAAACACAAAAGTTTTCCTTTAGAGGTACACGGTAAAATTCTTGATAACTCGAACCGATATCACAGCATTTTGTATTTAGTGAAACTCGACCCTCATTATTTTGAAGCAACACATTAACGAAATATTTACATTTATATTCTCGCGGTAAGGCGAAATCTACACCGTTTCCGATTATTACCGGCTCATTCGATAACATCGAGAAAAAAGTTCCGGCAGAAAGTTCTCGTCTTACAATAAAATTACTCAGTCGCTTTGTTCAACAATACTTTAATAATTAATCTCGCCGATTGCTTACATGAACCATTCGATATTATTCCGGTCGATTCTCCCTCGAACAAAGAGAAAGTTGTAACCGAAGTTGAGCAGAAGTCAGCGATCCATCACGCGGCAGTCTCCGGAACGAGCAACAAATCTATTTTAACAGATCATCCCTGCACTACATTATCGTTCCCCCTTTCAGTTGTTTCCCCAACCACTGATATCCGACGTTATTTTTCATAAATTATATGTCAACTAGTAAAATCGAGTTGAGTTCGGTTAATCTGATAATGGTCACAACACATGAAATCATGCAATTAAAACTCTGATTTTTGTCACGTATGTATATCGGTATTCAAAGATGTATCGTATCATGACAAAATTTATGGTTATAGCGTACACATAGTAATTTTATTAGTGAACGAAAAGGGTTATGTGATAGGTACATGAGTAGGTACGTTATTGGCGTATCCCTAGGGGTATCTTATTTTTTGGGATAATATCCTATCCGTTACGGCGAGACAGGATCTGCAGCTAAAGTCGATAAGGTATTCTCGAATGGTTGTTATGAAGTGAGAAGAGAACGAAATGGTATTTATTTTATTTGGGCGAGTAGTAAGGCTAAGTAAACGTAGGGCGGGAGTGTGCGTTAATGACCGATGGCTGGCGGCTAATGGCGGGGCTATCACCGCAGCGTCGCCACGATCTCGTTGGCCATGCTGTTTTGCTGGCTCGATGCGTTTAGGTTTTTGGAGCATTGCTGGAAATTGCCAAACTCGTTAGTGGCCTGTGGTTACTTCTACATATATAGCAATACAATGTAACGCTCTACACTTTCACACTACATGGAAATGATTCTATTCTTTTGAATAACGTGGAAAATATACAAGCAAAATTTATATAGTTGAAAATGAAAATCAGGCACTTAAAAAAGTGTCTTATCTCAATTTATAAAATAAAACAAATCGTTAAAAACGCAACAATTTACCATTTGTCTAGATTCCCACGCCTTCATAGCACTCTTGTACTTCTCAAACTCGTGGCACCAGTCCGAGTAAACTTGTTTGTACTCCTGAGTCTTGCTTGGTTGCGTACACCTAAACAAAAAATATTTTTTGTAATATCTAGCAGTCAGAGAGCAAACGTTAGAATTGGTTCTTAGGAAAATTCAAAATATAACACGTTGGAGTTTTATACAATTTGAAGCAAATGCGTCTACTTAAATCTAGCTCTATGGCACTCATCGCTAAACCAAAAGTCATGGCCAAGGAATGAGAGAGGGGGTTTCTTACCGATGGACGTCTATATCTAAATTGTAGGAAGCCACGAGCGTAGGGCCATAGTAACACTCGTAGCGACCCCGGTCCGCATCCGTCACGGACAATAGCACCAGGCCCAGTTCCGACGTCTGCAACACTCGCTCCCAACTACGAAACATTAAAGGTAATGATGATTGCGTTAAAAAATATTCGTGTTATCCTACCCACATTTCTAATATAATAATTTATTAGAAATATGAAAGTTTCTATGTTAAAGTGTGTTACTGATAAATAATACAAGTCTAGCTTGTGGATGAAATTGGGAAAATGTGCAATAACTAAGGTTAAATAAAACAAGTTTCAACGAGTTAGATGCACTGATTTTATTAGCCTTTTCAGGAATGCGTCGTCCGACCTGCAAAGGCTGCGAAACGTCAATAAATACATAAAATCAGTGCATCTAACCCGTTGAAACTTGTTTTATTTAATGAGTGATGTGGGTGAAAACCTAAGAAACAAATACATAACTAAGGTTGCCATCCGTACTCTAACATAGAGTTTTGTTCTCTTTTCATGTAGGCGTTTTTTATAATCCAGGACTCCAATATAGTACGCTAAAATACTCTATTTACAAGAAGCAACAAAAAATAGGTTTTTGAGGACAAATAGTAATAATAAAAAAAGTCTATAGTATGCTGTTTTTGTTCTACCAAAATGGAAAATTAATATTATTCACCCTAGAAGATGGTGGCAAACCCAGCTATGACCCACCACGCGGGCTCGTTGCGGAGGCTCGTGCTAACGATTGTAGATGTACCCGGGGCTGACTACTTAACCATTTTTTTGTCTGGAAAATGCCTTACGCATCATTCAACCACCGCGGGAGCGAGAAGGTATCTGGGACTCCTCCCTTCTCATTTCAGCCAACCTTGGGGCTCGATGAAATAAGTAGGGCCCTACCTTACGCTCTGAACAGGGCCAGTAAAAACCAGACAATACTCCTAAACCGATCACCCAGCATGTATTCTGAGGCCCGAGGTCCCTCAATGCATGCCCGGAGTGTGGGTGTGGTAGTGGCACCCGATTACCAACTGGCCACGCACCCGCAAGGTGATTGTCCGTACACAGAACCCAAAGAAGATGCCCCGGAGCATTAGGAGCACCTACATTCAGAGAGCTTGTACGACTCCTTAACCTACAATTAAAAACATGGAGGAGCTCGAGATAATAAATGTTTGATCCTTTATTTAACCAGCCATTCGGTGCTTAACTTTCACAATGGAGCGAACGCGCTAAACATTGTGCCAATTCCTCAAATACTGTGATAAGAAAACTCCTTGATTTGTTACTCGATCACAAATAAACGGGTTAATGAATTTGATCCTCCTGAGACAAATACAGTAAACTTTATAACCCTATGAAAGGCTCCTTAAGGACAAAATTATGAAATTCTCGCCGACAGAGTTGCATAAGCTAGCAAACCATAAAAGTCACATCACTATATCAAAACTTACTTGTAACTGATTCTATATCGTCCTTTTTCCCTGGAATGGTGATACCAGAGTACGTGTTGGTCTTTCAGCGCCTCGGGTGTCTTAGCATATGCTGCTAAGTGTACGCTCTGGCCGTACCCTGCGCGTACAGTACGCAGGGGCGCGCTCGCCTCGCATATGGAGGGCGTCGAGTTGGTCGCGTCGTGGAGCAACCCTGGCGCGTACGGACGGCACACACCGGCCTCCTTGTCCCACCCGCAGTACGGATCCAGGACGCACCGTACGCAGCTGTCGTAGCTATTACGGAAATGATGCAATGGTAATGGTACTTGAGTCACAGAAAAATAACAATGGGGTCCTATATTAGTAGCATTCTTTCTATTATTTTCTATAGTTTGAACAATAACGCTTTCTAAATAAACAGTTGAATTTCATGTCATGAACTTTATGACACATTTGATTTATTGCACGGAATTAACTACATGTTATTATATAATTGCTATTACGAATTTGCATAATTACGATCTTCCTTTAATAAAAAACATATTATTATTATTTATTAATGTTTTTTTTTAACTAACATGGGTTAAGCATATTTTGTATACTAACAAACGATGTGGATCTGTGATATCTGAATTAAATGAATTATTATTATTTCTAAGCTTAATGAAGTCAGGCCAAAATGTTCGCTGTAACATTTCTACGATAAATACTGACCGGTACGCGTACACACGCTGTGGCAATTGACGCAGCCGGTAATCTGTAGCGAGGTAGAACGGGTGCAGGCGGCTGGACAGAACGAGCGTGTCCGCACGAGATCAGATCCCTCCGCGCGCCCTCGAGACCCGAAGCCCACCAACTGCCCTATTGTGTGAAACTGCCATGATGAATACTGACCAGTGCGCGTTCATACGCAGTGGCATCTCACGCAGCCGGTAGTCTATGGCGAGGTAGAGCACGTGCATGCGACGGGACAGAGCGAGCGCCCACACGGGCTCGGACGTCGCCGCGCGCCACTTGACCCGCCACCCAAAGAACACAGAAAGAGGTTAGAAGGGCCTTGTGCGGGGCAGACGCACCACAGTTATGTGTGAGCAAATGCTCATAACTTGACGAAAACTGGTACTGGTTGCCCTCGGCTGTGAGCGCTGATTAGTTCTATTGCTTGATGCCGCGTCGTTTGATTGGCTGTTACCTATTAGATGGAAATGTAGTGGGGGCGAGCCGGTGACATCGATCTATTGTCACCCATCTAACCTCTTTCTGTGTTCTGTTGCGCCGTCCATTGTGTAAATCTGACAAGATGGATACTGACCGGTGCGCGCAAACACGCAGTGGTAACTGCCTCAGCCGGTAGTCTGTGGCGAGGTAGAGTGCGTGCATGCGGCGAGACAGAGCGAGCGCCCGCACTGGCTCAGACCCCGCCGCGCGCCACACGTCCGCCACCCGCGACCCGCCACCCGCCCACTGCACTATTTTATAAACTTCCCCCGCATCTGCAAATGGACTTGCATGTTTTATTTCACATTGTTTACACATATCATTTTTATAAAGTGATGATTGTGCAGTTTCGATCTTGTTGCACCTCCGATGCTATGTCAACCCAGTCAACCCATAAGAAAAGTTATGCAAAATCTATGCCTACGTGTACACTTAAAAAAATCAAATCAAATAATTCTTATTTTTTTCCAGTTTCTTCTAATATCTCTTATTTTTTCATTTAAAAACGCCTAAAATAAAATATAATTTAGTAAAAAATGCCTGTCACAGCCACCTATTAACAAACTTCTTTTCTCTCGAAGTAACCATTACGCAACACTAAATCAAGTTAAGGATCACTATACCTAAATATGATCTATATTTAACTCATTTCGCAATGCAAGTGATATCACTTTGAATATTTTACACTAAAACGTTATAGTGTACCGTCGAAACAGAAATCAGTAAACATATTTTTCACGAAACATTGATTGCGGATGCCGCGCTTGACATCGCATGGTCCACTAGTGCAGTAAAAAATGGCCCATCATTCACTGCACTAGAAGTTGATCTACTGAAATTGATATTTTATGTAAAGTAAATCCAACGCCCTCTTGTCACTTGCAATGTGAAAAATGGTATCAAAAATGCGTTTAGCATGGCGACAATGCTGACGATTGCAAGTTATAGAATCAAACAGAAAATTCGAACATCAGTAAAAGTACTTTTAAGATTCAATTTTTTGAGTAGCAATTTTAAATTTTAGAAAAAGGCCATTCATTTAAATTAAAATTCAATTTCGACTACTTAAGTAAATTAAACGTTGTTTTTTAAGTACAGTATAGAGTGCAGTGGATATTTATTCTCTTAATATAGCAAAGTATTTTGCTGCCAATGTCTTTATTGAAAATGCACACCCAATATTTACCGAAAATACGCTGTGCAGGTGGAAATATCGCAAATAGGAACGTAATCAAAAATGTTGAAGAGAAATGAGAAAACTTACTCGTCCCAGCATAGAACACGGTGTATGTGATGTCATCTCCTAGCATGTCGACGAACTGCCGGTCTACCACCAAGGTGGTGAGCACCAGGTCCCGCTTGTAGAAGGCGGGGGCGTCACCCTCGTGCCTCACTGCTGAGTCCATTAGTGGGTGGGACCTATGGAAAACAATCTGTACAGTTTTAAAATCCTAATCCCTTGGACCAAGGAAAGGGACCTCAAGTATCTTTTAAAAATAACCGCTAATTATAAGCCGTGTAAGGCTGTATTAATAAATAAAAAAATAAAGGCGAAAACCGATAGAATACTAAACGAAAGCGACAAAGAGAACCGTTCTATAAAAATGTTGCTTTCTTGACATTGTTAAGGTGTGATGATCCTCCAACTAGAACACTATTTTCAAGCAGCATATGAACTTTGGTATAGGTAAAAAAGGTAATCCAATCACACTGCACACCATACAGCGCCACACATGTTTGCTGCACTATTTGTTAGGAGTTGGAAGTTGTGCGGATATTATATTGACAAACTATTGGACAGACTCATCAAACACGCTAAGCTTAAAAGCTATAGGAGACATTTTACACATTTAGACTTAGATTAAAACAAAAAGGGAAGATACGGTACGCTCAAACTAGCATCAAAATTTCTTTCCTTCTTTCTTTCAATCGAGCGAGTGAGACAGAATTGTACGGTTGAACGCAGCGCGAGCACAGAATATATACACTACGCGACGAGAGCGAAACGGCGCGAGTCCGTGTCACTTTGCAGCCTTGCGTTTTCTTTTCTTTCTTTACAGACGGCTGAGTTGTATTGTAGTCCTTTTCTTGATAAAAATGGCGAATCAGTTATTAACGTTCATGGCAAACCGTGCTTTTTGAAAAAAAAAATGTTTTTATATTTTTAAGAATGAAAAGTGTTGCCGTGGTATTTGTTATTTGATTTTGAACTATAAATTTGTGTTCTTTATAAAAGCATTGAAGGCATTGTTATATCTTTATAACACAGAATATACGCAATATTATTATATTGAGTGCACATACATCGTGTTTGGATGTCTAATTGTGACTAAAGCGAATTGTGATCATGCACCACAATTTAAGCGGATCACTTTTGCATTAAGCATTTAGACCAAGTGGTAGCTTAAACATGTAGCACTATTTTTCCTGAACGTTAACGCTATCGTTCGGTCAATTGTCTCGTGTCACCATTTTGTTTGACTGACTTCGTTTACGGAACAACAGAATACTTTCCAAAAAAAAAGCACACAATTTCCTTCTTAAAGGAGACAAAAATATGAATGACGTAAGAATATTTATGTGTGCATTACTTTGTAAAGTTAAAAACAAATTCCAAGATGTCACAAACAAATCTGTTTCTTTCCGTAATACAGCTGAGTCAACAAATCGAACACCCTTATAAAAACTAAATGCTTATCTGTCCTCCAAATTTACTTTGACACTAACTGACGGTTGACTCGTGAGAATCCATAGGGACTGTCCCTGTTCACCACTTAAATAGAATTTTGGTTAAGATAGATGAATATCAGAATACCTAAAGTGGTATAACAATATTTATTATAAATGAGAATTAGACTTCCAGACATCATGCACGCAATAAATTACACCTCAATTGAGTTGATTCATTGTCGATTAACAATTATTACTGACTCCTTTCCCTGCCTACTATTTTTTTGTAGTAGCTACCTACTAGCTGTAGTACTAGTAGCTACTACAAAAAAATAACAGTCTCCGTGTTTTTGCAATTATAAAAATATTTAAAGTGTGTTAATTCTGTTCAAAACACATTAATTTAGTGAAGTGTAAAGTATTTCGATAGTGCAATTGTCTAAGACTAGAACGAGCCCACTAATTAAGCGCATGCTTAGATCAAATTATCAGAAATTTTAGAGACGCTATAGGAAAAACTCTTACTTTAGCACTATCAGATTACAAAAAAGTTCAATTACTTGTCATTCCACTTCTAGAAAAATATGTGCTACACAAAAAATATTTTATTAGAAAAGGGCTTTTACTAATGAAAATGTAAAAAACAATTGAATGTGGTCTGAAGCAATTGCTCTGGCATAACATTCACCATCTACAATATACTAAAAGAGGTTTATTACATACTTCAGTTGTAATGATCTTAGGTAGGTACTGTTACATCCAATGGGATTTTCAATTTTATCAACATTGACTATTATAATTCTACGGACGTTTAATTTTGATATGAATATATAATATATTATATGAATATTATTTTTCATAATTTTAAATCGAATTGTACATCTAATAAATTTCATTTTATATGTTTTCTATACTGTATGCTGCGTGACAGTAAAATATTTGTACTCTATTTATACTGAAGGTATAACATAACATCAAATACAAATGTAATATCTTATGTACACCATTTTTAATGCAAATAAATACTTCTAAAAGACCTATGACAAATTATAAGTAAGAAATTATAAGCTTTTTGCCATTAAAGATTTGCGAAATTTATTCAAAGCAATCGAAAACATTTTCATTACAATGAAATGTTTTAATAGTTGATTCGATGTAATTTTTATAATTACTAAAACTAATATAAATATTTATTACTAACTTAGCTATTTAGGAATTGTACGAATCTTAAAGTAAAAATAGGTTTCTTCACAGCTACATTGAAAAACTATATTGCGGTGAAAAATAAATTAACGTGGACTAGTATTTTTCGGAAAACAAAAGTAAGAGCAAATTTCTTGGGACGTAAACTGTGCCAAGGCAGCCGAGATTTGGTACGTTAAGATTTTCCCGCGTCATCAATTAAAGCGCGCAAGTGCGACCCAATTAAGGAACACACGCGCTGCGAAACTAATGTGAGGTCTTATTGAGATTACTCCTTCGGGGGCACAAGACGAACGTTTTGGCTTTTCAATAGCCTCAATTGAAGCTATACGCTACACCTGCTGTAGGTTTATACCTACCTCTATAAGTGCAGAGCCTAATTATTCAATACCTACCTATTGTGCTTAATTAAAACATGCAATTTAAATCCTTTTCACATAAATGAAGTAAAGTTAGTTACAGCTTTAGGAAATGATTCCCATAGCACTATTATAAATTCTGACACAGAAGAGAAATTACTCTTTTTTATTTCTAGTGCAATCAAAATTTTCTGGATTAGTTGTCTTATGTCGCGTTGCAGTCTATTTTATTCACGTCTATAAAACTACCACTCTGTCTGTGTAAGAATTTTAAATGTTAGCGAAGAACATTTTCAAATTGCCAAAGAATCCTTTGGGATATAATAATAATAGTTACGAGTGGTAAACTGTAGTGCAAAGATCGCCCTTTTTAAAGTTTGAAAGTAGTTTCCAAATTCCTCTGTCAAAGAGCTCACATCAATCTATATAATCATTGAGTGTGTTTAAGTAAGGTAATGAATGTAATGGAAATTGTGCTAAAAAAATCGGAAGCCGTCGAATAGCCGAAGATTTTTAAATTATAATGAAAATAATCATATTTTACTATATACAATTCACGCTTATTATTAGATTATATTTTGAAGTCCAAGTGACAGACTATTCGTATGATCTAGTATTTGAGATGTACTAGATGATCTTTTAAATAAGTTGTGACCACACATATATCAACCATCTGCGAAGAACTAAGGGAAAGCACAGTATCTAACCTATTTTAAACTTGCATTCACCCGGCATTGCATGGATGAATTTTTGTAACGCGAAAGATCGCGTTTAAAGAGATTTAATCTAAGAAGATTAAAACAAAAAGGAATGATACGGCACTCGCGGCTCAAAAATGATCCGCTTGGTACATGACCACAATTAACTTAAGTCACAATTGGACATTCAAACACGCTGCATGTACACTCAAAATTGCAGTTTAAAGGTAAGAAAATATATTAATTAAATTCTTATGTTCTTATGGTCAAACCCGTTTGAAAATAAAAGATTTCCGAGCCCTGCATCCTACGTACAAACTTAATTTTTGTAACATTAGAATAGAGAAAAAAGAGTGACAAAAACGTTTGTTACTTACCTAATAAAATTGAGCACGTTATCAGGCAAAGCTTCGGTGTTGTTGACGCAAGTGCCGGGCCTAGGCTCGGGAACGCGCGCGCGCAGCACCGGCAGCCACGCTGAACTCGACGTGGCCTACGACAAAATAACTATTTAATAAATTAACCAATCTATAACTGTGAAATAGCAAAACATAAAACTGAACTTTAAATATCGTAGGCGTTGTCGTCTCGACAAAAGAGCGAGAGAGTGTTCCGCGCGGATTTTTGTTGAAATCAAACCGCGATGAAACGTTAATAAAAATGCTTTTATTGTTTCTATAAAAATATTGACTTGAAATAAGGTTGAGATCTCCTTTTAAGTATGATAATACTTGTGTCATCTCGCTCCTTCATTACAGAAATACATGTTTAACTGCCACAAATGCCCGTTTGAATTAAACTATATTCAGGTGACTCCTACCAACGAGATGCCTAAGCTTTAGGTAACAATTAGATCTCTAATTACTAAAAATATATCATTGATAAAAAAACACCAAGAGGTTTAAAATTAAAATATTTCCTGCATCAACATTCGAGAAGTAATGAGAGACTATATCTGTAGATAATACTATTGATTACTGACAGTATAATTATTACAACTTATTCTTATTGCAATTACACATCCGATGTAGCTATTTTCAGTAGCCGGCATGATAGTAATGCAACACTGAATCAATTATACGGTTAATCATTGTCCAATCATGATGAGTCCGGATCATTATCACCCCGACCAGGGAAGTCACGTTCCGCAGCATTACAGCAGAGTCCATTACAACCGGTAATAATTTTAAATAATTGTTTAATGCTCAGAACTGACCTAATTTCTCGGAAAATTGTTGGTGGAAGCGTTTATTTATGACAAGCGTGATTTTGCAGAACAACCATCTACATAAATTTATTTTAGTAAATTGTTATAAATAGCCCGTATATATTGATGTAAACAATGTATTGAATTTGTATTAATCGAAGTGTTTTTGATACACCTAAAACCAACTTCAGTAGGTGAATGTTGTAAAATAAGGTCTCACTGACAATCTGTTGTTGCAATTTTAGATATTAGGTATATATTCATTATGTCGTTACACAGTAAATGTTCCAATTACATAAACTACTTACTTAAATTACTGTTGAAATAAACATTATCAATTCTCAAAAATTCCAGGTACATAGTTCTGAAAATTAATAATGAGATTGCCTGTAACAGAATCGAAACTTGCTGCTTTTGCTCTAAATAATATCCCACCAAAAACATTCTGTAAAAAACTCAAGTCTCGATGGAGCTGCTTGTTTATCTTTAAAATGTAATGAAATCTAGGCAAAGTCGTGCCAAGTCTAAGGTTCCTTACTGCGATTTCTTTATTATTATAGTTAATGTTGTGTGACTTGGCCGTTGAAGGGTACACAAGGGTACAAAACCAGGTGCTACATGACACCATTGCACCAATCTGTCGCCAGAACCGCTACCCATTGACGATGGAAAATTGCCACTTTGAAAACGTTGAATGAATAACCAGTCAATTGTAGGCTTGATAAAGTTGCGTTTACACGTAATGTTGCATGTATGAATGCATCGGTGCAATGGTGTCATGTAGCACCTGGTTTTGTACCCTTCAACGGCCAAGACAGTCTTGGCTAGATTTTTACAGAATGTTTTTGGTGGGATTTCACTTCTTTTTGTAAAAACGTGGGCATATTGATTTATTTTATTAGATTTTCTTATTTGACACATTTTTTTTTTTAATGAGTAGTCTTTTTATTATTACAAATCTTTCTTTTCTTTTTTTCCGTTTCTGATTCTTGAACAATAGCAACAGTTTTTCGTATTGCCCATTCGCGTTCTTTATTTATTCTTTTAGACGGTTTAATTACTGAAAGATCGACGCGGTATTTACGCCTAATCCGGTTGTATTCGGTGATCGCTGAAGCTTGAGCTTTTATACTCTTGAAGTCAACATTTATGAGGTGCACCCCATGAAGATTGGTTATTCGTGAAAGCGCCACGTAGGCTTGGCCACAAGAGAATATGGAGGTGCCAATGTCCATGAGGACATTTTTTAGACTTAGACCTTGGTATCACCGCCACTCTTAGTCCAATGCATTATATTTTGACCAAATTTTGAGCGAATAGTATATTTCATTACTAGTACGGAATGGTTGTCATTGCAAAGAGTTCCGACAAATGTCTACCCGAGCCGAAGGCGAGGGTTGACAGTCGGAACGAGTTGCAATGACGGTTCCGTACGTGTACTGAATGACTATTTTTAATACAGTTGCGAAAAAATTAAGCAATTTAATCAAATTATAAAAACACAATAAACTCAATTAACTAATCATTTATTTCTTATAAAAGTTATAATTCACATATACATTGAAATTGGTACAGTTTTTTATACTAACTGGGGAAGTTTTACCTTGCATATTTACTGTTTGAGACAAACTATTAATTTCGTATGATTGTTCATGTATATTTGTCATACAATGGCGTTTGCTAGTTGATGGAATTGGATCTGATGAATTATCATTATCAACGAAGGTACTCGTAGATGGACGAACGTTCTCTTCAGCATGTGAAGGAGGACCTTAAATTAATGGATTGTGTGATCTTTTTCCCAGTTTCTAGTTTGTTGTTTAATGAATCACCAATATAGCTTTCTGCAACTTTGTCCGATTTCCAACCACCTAGTCGCTTTAAGGACGTCAAATTGGCTCCTGAATCTGCCAATAATGTAGCAGAGGTCCTTCTGAAGCTGTGCCCAGTATAACACTCAGCATCCGGCAGACCAAGAAACGTAGCTATTTCTTTTGGCATATTACCAAATTTGTTTATGCCGATTACTTGAGCTGTACACTTCCCTTTTTGGAAATTTTGAAAAAAACGGATTTTCCTTTTTGGGACCGCTGGTTCATATATTTTTTCACTATTGTGAGAAAATCTCCTTCAACAACAAAGCTTCGCGGTATCTTATTTTTTGTGTTTGGAATCTTGATAAATAGCATTTTTCCATGGGCTTCAATATCTTTTAAAGTAATATTGGCTAACTCCTCTCTGCGGCAAGCTCCAACAACGCCAAAAATCAGAGCAACCTAAAAAAAACGATTTGATTCATATAAATAATGTATTGACTGTATTTTGCGATTTTGTAAACTGAACACTAAAGAAAAATGTAGATATGTATACTTATTAATAAATTACCTTTGTGGCTAAATAACAATCATCGGGAGCTTCTTTCAAAAACCTTTCCACGTCATTCGATGTTGATATTTTCGACTTTTTACTGGTAAACCCGTCTGATTGTCGTTATAAGAAAGAATTAAATTTTGGATATTGACTTATATCCACGTTGTTCCTTATTTTCAGCATACTTTTTATCATCGAAAACCTTGACCATAACGTAGAAGGTTTTAATTTTGCTGAGAGTTCGGAAAAGTATGCCAACATAACATTTTCTGAAAAACTATTTGCTTTTTTCTCTTCTTTCCACGCAATAAATTCATCGTATGTAGATATGTAGCGAATTTTTGACTTTTCCGGTAAAATGTTCTCCGAAGCATTTTGTGCAATTATACTGAGTTCCGGTGGAGTTAATTCAAAAAAAATTAGGTCGAAATTACTCATTTTGTGTAAAAAACAACTAAACTCGCAAAGAAAATTTCGGAAAATGGCGCCAACCGTAGAATGTAAGCAGTTTTTTTTCACCCATTCTGGTAGGCAAAGGGAACTGCCCATACAGCCAAGTCTTTAGTACTTAGTATTTTTTATTATAAGAAATGAAATTGAAATTTAATGATATGAAATGAACTGAAACCTTACCTAACTCATTCAATCAATTAATTAATTCTGATATTGGACAAATTAGTATAGGTAGCTTCTTTTTAAAAACAAATAAACCTATTTGCATGAATCGCAAAAACTTCTATGATTTTTTTTATTTAAAACTTCATGGTTGTTTTTTTTAATAGAAATAATTTTGACAGTTGGGAAAGAAAACGCACGAGTTCGGGAAAGGCAAAAAAAAAAAGCACGAGTGTGAAATAGCCCAGATCCCGAACGCTACACGTCCCTGCAATAAGCCACTTCTTGAGCAACTGTATTAAAAATTAATATTTTAGTGTAATTTGTGTAATGTTCGAGTAGAATAAAGTTAATCGTTCGACTATTTTTTCTTGTGAACTCGTAAGTATAAGTATAAAAGCCAGTCTAGTGTTATCCAGAGTTTTCCTTTAATTTTATTTATATGCGTATTAAAAGTAGAAGGGGAGGCATTCGCCCAGCAGTGGGACGCTATAGGCTAGATTAAATTAAAAGATGTGTCCCACTACGCTGGATTTTTGCAATGACGTCGATTTTTTTGTGTACCAATAGTAGAAGGGGGCTTTACCATATCTCTAATACAGCTGAGACCAGCTGAGGGTTCTTCATCGGATACTGCAGACCTTCGATTTTTGACATCAATTGAAGCGGCCCACCAAGTTGAATATTTTTTGTGGAGGCGGTATGTCGATCTCTTCTAATAGTTTGGTTGGGCTCTTGTGTTTTCTAATCAGGGTCACCAGGTACTCCAGATCTTCGATTATCCTAGTTTTTATAATTTTCCCTTTAGTGGCCATTAAAGCCTAACTCTGTACCAAATTTCAGCTCTCTGAGTTTATGGGAAGTACTAGTTCTATTCTGATGAACGTGAGTGAGTGAGAGTCATAAATGCGAAACTTTGCTTTCGCTTAACTTCGGAAAAAAATGACCTACAGACTTGAAATTTTGGATTTTAAGTCTGTTATTATAGCTTACTGGAAGACGAAAATTTCTGCGTTCTGGTCTTATCCTGAGGTTCTCAAATAAGGGCCTGAAAATGCGGCGAAATGGTTACAGTAAAGGATGGTACGGCAGTGTTTACTTCGCGCTCGACTTGGCGGGGGCACTACCGTGCCCCCCGATCAATGATTCACGTAAGTATATCTTTATAACAAAATATTTACCTATATTAATATGTCTTAAGTTGGCAAGTACCTGTTCTTTGAATCTTCCTCCGAATGCTTCTTGTATGTCCTCCATGGTGTAAGTGCAAATGGCGGAACCCACAAGTCCATCACTGGCACCCGTTGTAAATGCCGCATAGAACTTGTTCGGGTCCCCCGGCATTTGATATACGCTTTCTGTATGAAACGAACATGTGACATTCTATTGAAGAAGGAAGATAAATCATTTGTAGTATTACATTTAAGAAATGTATAAAACAACTTTTAAAGTGTTAAACGTCGTAGGCAATTAACTGATGGACATACAAGAGATAATGCAGGCCGGGTACCTATACTTAGTTGATGTTACTCTAGGTTATAAAAAATGGAACAATAAAATGGACCCCGGGGCGCCCGCGTGTTTGAGGAGCTTTCGACCACAGAACCACCAGTGATTGTTGACAAGAAAAAAATTGTAACAATCTAATAAAAGTTTGACTTTTAAACTAAAAATACTTTGACCAGATTATGAAAATTTTGTTACCTACTATACTTTACCCACACGATAGATAACATATAAAACATTTTTATGGAAACAACATATCACCAGAGAATAGATATATACTGTAATTTGTACTTAAAGGCACTCAGTGACACTGATATCAATAAAAGAAATCAAGGAACAAAAGGAAAAGAAAACATTATTCATAATAATAAAACTATAACAAAGATGTCGGTCAGTAATTCAAACTATACAAATTAGGTTAGCCGGTCGCTTACATTGTCTTTCTACCAACAATTTTATTTTAATATTTTTTATTTCAACAGCTCTTCGTAGTACATTACTTTACTCACGTATTTCATCAAAGTAGAAAGGGAACTCTCCTGGTATACTGCAATTCAGTCTTGCTTTTAAGTAAGTGGCCCAATTCTGGCTGAGGATATGTTTGCCTCCGGTGTCGTGCTTACAAACCCTGGCCACTCTCGAGTACACGGCCTTTCCACAATTCATAAACTCAACGGCCGTTTCTCGGAAAAAGAACAATACATATTCCCCGACATCAAAAGAGCCAACGAAATTCGTTTCTGAAACAAATGATCTTTAATGAGACACGTTTAAAGTTGCCAAATTTATCAAGAAAAGTAAATTGAAGTATTAATTAGGAATCCATACAGAAAATCGTTGTATTGCTTGTATTCCTTTATTACACAGAAACACTTACTAATGCAGATAAAAATAAAAAATATTAAAAAATTACAAGCTCTCATTATCTCTATGAAACAGGAATATTATTGTCTCAGCTAATCTGAAGTCCGATTTATTTAGGAAACAGACACTTATTACAATTGAGGTATACTAGTATACTCACTGTCTAACCACTTGGAGTCATATTTCAAAGTCCTCTTAAAATTAAACTTCTTCTGTCCAGTTCTGAAGTCAAAGAGATCGTTCCTAAAGATGACTGGATCCGCCTTGGTGAACTCCGCGTTGGTCCCCGCATAGATAGCTGGCAAGCCGCCGGGGTTGCCCTCTGTCACCCATACCGCGGTGCTATTGTCTGCCGGGTCATACGGGCACTTGGCAACACCTAGCCCTACCCCTGGGATGTATTCGTGACGTGGCAAATGCGTGAGGTTGAGCTGTGTGAAATAAAAATAACTTCATTTGAATATCGAAAAAAGAAATTTAAAAAAAGTTCGATTCTTTACAAAGAAGGACTTGATTTTCTTTTTCCTAGAGCATTCAAAATAGCAATAATAAACTTAAATTCCGTTATTGATTTCTTATACCGTGTCTGGTTTAGTTCTATTTCTGTTTTCAACGGTGAACAGTTTAAAAAATTGTCTGGCAATATATTCTGGATTGCACTCTATAAGTAACCATATAAACTATTAATTTAAGATATTTTTGAAGTTATACTTCTTTAGCCGCGTTATGAAAAAATTATGAGAGTGAAATTTTAAGATGCGCGCGCATCACTGTAACACAAAAGTAACATAATGAAGTTAGTTAGTTAGCACTTAGTGGTTAATAATCCACCATTATTAGACATCTGTTCGAAAGGTACTTTGAACGATCCACGGAGCTCCATAAGATGATCGCGTTGTCAAAAACAATGTTGGCACGCTCGTCGCCTCTGATCACTGTTTTCATATTTATAATATTTATCCACATGTTTCTAGTTTCTATATAGACACAACGTGTTTTAGTTACTTACAAGTGCTAATTACATATGGACTAATAACTTAAATTCAGTAGTGATTTTAATTGAATATTTTGAATATTTATTTAATTTTTCAATTTAAAACTGAACTTAATTGACTGTGTTAACTATCCTTTTCCAGTCCTTTTATTATTTTATTGTAATTATTAATTATTTGCATGCAATTAAAAAATATTTTTAATGATGCTAAAGAAGTATAACTTCTCACGCGCGTACGTAAGTTACACGCATCCATTTTTTTTTGTTGCTTTCATAACAACATATCTCTGTAACTAATAAAATAGGTAGGTGTTCTCTACATCATAAACATAAAAGTAAGTGCCTAAACGAACGGTTCCCCTAAGATCCTCAGGGGTGTCAGTTATGTAACAAATATAGACCACTTAGCCTTTTGGGATGTGCGTGTTACTACTACAAATATAGAACCACTCGTTATTCCCTAAGCATCCACAAGTAACTGAACAGAACTGAAGTTAACAGTCCAACATCATAACAAATGTCTCAGAAATGTCTGAACTTGTTCTGACTTAGGGACTTAAGGGATCTGATAGGGATGACCTCTACCATCGATTCAGCTCTTTCAGTTTCATAATTTCCTCTCGAACTATTCTTAAGCTAGCTAGCTACGTGGAAAAATTGATTTCTCATTCCAACTTTAATTCCCTATATATTTTTCAGACTCCCTATTTCACCTTCTTCAAATAATATGTTCGCGAGAAAGAGTACTAGATAACTCTTTCTCAGAAATTAAGTATTATCATCACCAGGATCAATCGCTGCACCAAACGTCTTAATAATAATCAATGCAGTGAACGCAGTAATGTACACGTATTGACTTACAACTAGTAAATAATGACACTAGATGGCCTAACTCTAATAAAAAGTAAGAGTATTGTTAGTTACATGTTTCCTAATCTGATCACACAATCTCATCCTTAACTTAATTATAACTGGAAACCAGACGGCGACTTACATATACCACCCAGTCTTTGGGGCTGTGGGCGTTTGTGCCGCATATGTAGAGCCTCTCGTCATCACCAATGGGCTGCAGGACTCGTATATGGTTGCGGCACTCGAAGGGCTCCGACTTGCCTTTACTCACACATCGTGCCACATTGCTGGCTTCCAATAGCAAGGCGTCGCGCTGACAAACGTTTGAAACTGTTAAACTACATATTGACAAATCATATTTACCAACGAAGTCTATATAACTGTAATATGTACTGTTACAACAAAATAAATATTTTATCTTAAGTATGAAACTATTTTCAAAAACTGAAGATAAAAGAAAATTAGAATATTTTTTTGTGCAAGCTTTAGTTGTAACTGAGTAACAAGTTTTAATAAATTATCCAGATCCAGTCATGAAAATCATGAACGCTTCTCATATAACGTACAATATAAAAGAGTGACATACAAAACGCTACATTTTACTATTAAGGACAACAAGAATTTATGCTGATAATACATTTTACTTAGAGAAAATATAAGCTGTAATAATGGCGCTAAAGTACACCATCCTTTATGTTAAGATATCTTGTATCCGCAAAATTTTAATTCCTTATTTTTCTCTCAAGAGTGAAGTAAAATTTGCAAGTATAAAAGTGCAGCGCTTACATAAGAGTTTTGCCTTTCAAAAGGTTATGACACTTAGGTGTGGAAATGTAGGAAAGCCTTATGTGCGCGAGCATTAAAAATCCACTGTAGTACCGGAAAAGTGGCCTTTCAGAACTTTTCTTCTTAACGACCATAAGAAAACCGTTTTATTTTCTATATTGCACAAAGAAAACAGTGGTTGTTATATAAACGTTAAGTTTAAAAAACATTGATTAGGTCCTTACCTCGCAATGGGATTGGCTTATATCCGTCATGTTAAGTTTGAACACTCGATCCCTGTAAAAACATTCGTGTTAAATTAACCATATCCTGCATTTCGGTAAATAACAACGGCATATATTTAGGTGACCAAAAAAAAAATCTCGCACAGCTGCATTTAAACTGTGGGAAATAAAAGAGGAGCGTAGAATGAGTAACTAGACAATCTGCAACGGAATGGAACGACTGCCACTTTTTGTGGCCGGAGGAGCATATGCGCTGAATGTGACCATTCTATTTATTTTATTTGCTCAAGTTTCGCTCAACGGGCCGTATAAATTACGCAGAATAGTCGGCGGTCCACATTACGCTACTTAGTAAAATAGTTTCTTGTCCACCTACTGTTTCTGTTGTTCTTACAGCGTTTAACTACTTTGTTATCAAAAGAAGGAGTTGAAGAAGAGAATTTTGTTGATATTTTTATACTGAATTAAATCTTTTACATATTTTATAATTTGGATTGAAATTAACATGTGGATTATCTTAAATAAATATGTTAAGGTTACCTAAATGATATTGATTGCGAGTTGCGACAATTCATGATATTTATTAAATTATCGTATTTTAAAGTCGGGTAATAAATAGTTGCCTATAATAATAATGATATCAAATGAAAATGCGTAAATAGCTTGAATTGTGTTTAAGTGTAAAGAAGAGCAAATTAAAGCCTTATATTTATTCATGACCATACGGGACTTAACAACAGCTACTTACACAGAGTTTTCATTCAAAATACCTTTGAAAAGTGGTAAAAAATTGCTCTAAGTACTTAAACTGTATTTGTACTTTCATGTCATACTCTGTATAAAAGACATTAAACTTCACCATCTTCTTCAAGCATATAGGTAATTACATTATTTAAACACTTATGGTATTTCTACACCTTCTCCACTGACTAAATCGTACTCGAAACTTGTATTAGATATTAGTTATACAGTCGGTTATATTTCTTAAATTCACCTAAACGAAAGCCATAAATCTATATGCACTTAAAATGCTGGGAATAAGAAAAAGGCCTTTAAAATGCTGCCTCTCGTTGAGAATTTATTATCTTTCTCGTATTACTCGTGTATTGAGATGTTATTGCCGGGCTATAAGCATTGTGAAACGATAAATCCATCGCGATTCTGAGTAATATGTTTATTTATTTATCCAGTGCATTGTAATTGTATTATTAATATGAAAATAATATGATAAGCGGTCAGTATGTTGATGATCTATCTATAGACATTTACGACACAAACTCTCTTTTAAAGAATCAAAAAATAGTTCGGGCTAGTTACGTTGTTCATATATATACTGTAATTCGATCAACATTAGCAAAATTCTGTGTAACTTAAAACTTAACTAGTCCAAGCTTATTTAAAGACTTTATTCTCTTATTTATTGATAAGGGGAAAATAGGCTGGTTGATACTTTTTGGAAATATGATTTAAATAGTTTATAATTGTTCTATTAGACCGAAAAAGAAATTTTTTTTACCTAGAATGCTACAAAACTTTAATTTTAAAATAGAACATACAAAAAACGCTGTCGGCAATTTTAGGCTATTAATTTATCTATGCTATGACGTCCAGACATTTTTAAACAAACACTCGCAAGCACATAAGAAATAACCTATCTGGATTTCTAATAGATTTCGTGATAAATATAGCAATTATCATGATTATATTATACGAAAATGTAGAAAAATATCGTAAAAGACTCCTACAAATACACATACCTACAAGGACATATTATGAACACACGTTTTAAACTCTTAATACCTTGCTAAATCCTGTAACTTTACCCACTGAAAGTCATTTCTTTTAGCAAAGTATTCATTGAATTATAATTAAAGTTTAAAATACGTTTTTTAAGATTATGAATGTACCTTCTAAGGCAAAGACTTTTGTCGTTTCTGCTTTCAGAAATCCGGCGTCCAGCATTAATAGAGAAGTATATGCAAAGCTCAACATAGATGGCGCTACAAATGCTTGACCCAAACCACAGCCGAATACTGCAGCTGTCAAATTTTATACGAGTTTTTTTGTTGTTAAAAATATTAAATAAGTGGTGGAAATGAATACATTTCCAAATACAAAATTGTCTGTAATACAGCTGAAAACAGAGTTAAAAAGGGGAGGAGCATTTGTGCAAGGCAGAAAACCTGATCTAGTAGAAAGGCACTCCTACTATTATTATGCTAGAATACTCATTCTCGGTACATAGATGCATTTTTCATGATTATTTTAATAGTTCATGGATCTCAGTAACTTTTAGCGGGCTCATTAGTCAAAGCTATCTTATTTTTGCATCAGTCAGACATCTCATAGAGTTAGGTTACCTCTGGCTTAAATGGGAAGTATAACATTGGGGTTTTTTACAGACTTGAGGCATATGACCACAATTTTAATTTTGGTGCAGTTATTTCTGATCAAAATGAAGACACCCAGATGCAATTAGCTGCCCCAGATACATACCATGATGTAAACAGCAGCTCAGTTCTACCCCCCCTTTCAAAGCAGCATATAAAATTATATTTTGGTCGTTAAGCATGCAGTTTACTCACAACAACCAGGAATTGCACAACGCGGCAATTTATAATTTGTTTAATAAAAAGCTTAAAAATGAATATAATATAAGTTTTGAGTCAAGCGATTACAGCGCCCCTAGTGGATAAATTTTGCAGATTTCTAGTCCATTTAGTCAACAAAACCAATAAACGGAACCTTTTCTACAAGATATAAGACTTTTTAGAGATATTTTAGTCCGACGAAAGAAACCACAGTTTTTTTTTTTTTAGAAATTTAACGGCGTTGTACAAGTCCATATAGCCTATACATTAGTAACAGTCTTCATTGATTCTAAGTTTCTCTTCATATGTTCATAAAAGTAGAAGTAATATAGGTGTAAAGGTGTTCATATGTATCTTCGTTTTCTAATAGAGATGGCAAGAGGCGGGGAATTTCTTCATGTTTGTAAATCTTCATAAAGCCATCTATAAGGAGTATTCTTTGAATATTAAAAGCAGGACAAAATAGTATCAAATGATCCAATGTAGCCACAGCTACCTCACAATATTCACACTTGTCTGAAGAGATCATCTTCAGCCTTTTCAAATGTGCTGCAAATTTTCCATGTCCAAGTCTGAGTCTGTTTAAAGTGGTAATAAATTTTCTACTCGGTGACTTCCATTTAAAATACCAGGGTTTGCGAGGAATTATTTTTTGTATTTTGGCATACCAATTTCCTTTAAAAACTCTGGTGGCTTCCCAGTCTTTATTCCAATAGTCGAACATTCGAATTTTTAATAACGAACCGTAATCAGTTAGAGGTACTGGAGGAGTGTAATGTTGCGAATTAATAAAGCTTGGATGTTGAATCTTCATAAATTTATCAACTATTTCATTGCCTGTTATTCCTGAGTGCGAAGGTACCCATATAAATTCAATTACTTTGTCTTCTTTTTCTAATTCCAATATCATTTCTCTTATTCTGGTAATGTAAGTGTTATTTTTATAGGAAATTTTAACATTTTCCAGACAGGTAAGCACACTTAGTGAATCAGTTACAATTAAAAAAAAATCGGGAATTTCTGTTTCCTCGGATGTATTGCAATGCGCTATATATGGCGTAGGCCTCTGCTGTAAATATTGACGAATTGTTATCCAGTGTAAAACATCTTCCAAATTTAGCTTCCGAATCATAGTATGCTGCCTTAGTTACTTCTTCTGTTTTCGACCCATCAGTGTAAATGTTAGTATATCCTGATTTTTTAGTATTAATAAAGTGCAAAAACTCAGAATTATTATTGACTCTCTGAGAGCAAACACGAGGAACAGTGGTTTGAATGTCTATTGTACTGAGTTCCCATTTTTCTTTTCGATCTATGTGTTGACATAAAAAATCGAATTCCCTTATATGCTCACATTGGTAATAATTGTTAGAACTATATAAATTAATGTACATCTTATTTGCTAAAAATTTTACACGTGACTTTTCTGTGAGGTATCTCATTCTTACTAAAATAGGCGGAATACCTGATTCAATTTACAAGGAATTTATTGGTGTGGAGCAGAAGGCTCCGGTTATTATTCTCAATCCCTTATTTTGCATTACATCTATTTTATTATACAATGTTGAAGAAAGATATTTCCCATAGATTGTTAGTCCGTAGTCGTATTGACTTCTAACTATAGACTTGAAAACAATATTTAAAATTTTTGGGTCCATTCCCCATGTTACACTTGCTAAATGACGCATTATATTTACAGATCCTTGCATTTTATTTATAACATTATGTACATGAAAATGAAAATTTAACTTAGTATCTAATATTATACCAAGAATTTTTTTAACTTCTACAACATCTATATTTACAGAGCAATACACAATATTTACACAATCATAATAATCATTTTTTTTATTAAATATCATTACGGAACTTTTGGAAGGATTAACGTCTAGTTTAAGTTTGATTTTGTAATAAAGATAAAGATTTTGTAAGGCTTCGTTTAAAGTAGACTCTGCTTGCAACAAACTCCTGTTAGAAGTATACAACACAATATCGTCAGCGTTTTGTAGTATAGATAGTTTGAAGAGCTTTATGAAACTATGTATTTGCGAAGTATAGAATAAATATATAAGAGGTGATAAAGTTGCTCCTTGTGTTACACCTTTATAGGCTATCTTAGGCCCAAATAAACTATTATCATATTTGACAAAGACTGTGTGCGAATAGAAAAAATAAAAAATCCATCTACACACTTTTCCGGGAATATTTAAACTGTGAAGGATTTCTACTAAAACTGATAAATCGACGGTATCAAAGGCGCCACTCACGTCGAGAAAAGTACTAACTAAATATCTATCGCTATTGAATGATTCTTTAATATCATTACAAAATTTGGAAACGCTATCAATAGTACTTCGTCCCTTTCGAAAACCAAACTGATCATGGGGAATTATCAATCTAGATTCAGCGTATAATTCCAATCTTGTTTTTATCATATTTTCGAAAATTTTTCCATACACATGATGACAAGGAAATCGGGCGATATGCTTCTGCCAGCTTTGGGTCCTTTTCTGGTTTCAAAATAGGAACTATTGCAATTGTTTTCCAACTATCAGGTATTAAGCCAGTAACACCCGGTTTCTGAAACGCATGTCATAGAAAAAATTACGTAACAAGTTGTTAATCTCTATTTAAATGCACTTTGGGTTTCTCAATGAGCCAAGTGACAGTTTGTCAATGATTTGTTGTTGCAAATGTCAAATCTCGAATTAATGGCCGATTGCGGTAGTTTTCGGTTTCCGGAAAGCTTTTTTGTATGTTAACTGCATGTTAACGTTTTGTTGTGTTTTAATAAGTAATTGATGAAAATTGATCAATTAACAGACTGTCAAAAGAAATTTTACTGATATTTTGGTCAGAGGATTGTTGTAGTGGTAGTAAAAAATGTTGTCAGATTTATCTGTTGACGATATATCCCTATTTAGTGACGAGGAAGATCTGGCACCAACTCGCCAGTTCCGGAAACGAATAAATCCTGTAATTCATTACAATTATGAAGAATTTAAGGATCGCTACAGGATTTCAAAATCTGTTTTCCATCAACTAATGGGAAAACTGACACACCTGGAACTTAAAACGAACAATTATGTACACTAAAGCCTTCCTAGAATTATGGCTAACCCAACATAAAAAGAATATTTCAATTCAGTTCAGCAGTTCCTGATGTTAACGCGTTCAAACAAACAAACAAACATCTTTATATTGTAGTTTATATCAGATTTACACTATAATTATTTTACTTTTTATTTGCTTTAGAAGTAAATTCCAATTCTTTAATTTTTATTTTTAAATTCTTCAATATTTTTCCAAGTCACGTTTTTTTTCCACCGTCACTGCATTGGTAGACTTATTTTCTATTATTGCTTTGTGCCTACATTGAAATATATATTATCAATATATTTACAAATTTTAAATGCCAAAAGCAGATCGGTTAATTTATATAGATTAGAAAGGTTGATTTGAACAACTGATTTGTACCTATTAGGTACTTACTTATCCACTATTGTTAAAAGCTCCCTCTTTTCTCGCTCCGTATAGTTTTTTCGTGACATATTATGTAAAAACTTTACAAATGAAAATAAATTTCAATGTTTTCGGTACACACAATCGCTTCTATTTTTCTGACTTCTAAATAAAAGTCACTTATAAGTTGTCAAAAGATAGAGACAAAGCTATGCGTTAGACAGAAACAAAACATGAATGATCGAATGAAAGTGACTGGTTTTAGCTAGGGTGGCCAGACTAATAAATAAATCCTGCCTTAACAGTAGATTCGTTAATTTTTCGGTAAATATCTTTTCAGAAACCCACAGTTGCTCAACAAATAGTTAATTATGACAGTCTGTCAACTAATTCAATATTTGACATGCGTTTCAGAAACCGGATGTTAACCACAAGTTATTAAATATTTAAGAAACCACAGTAACACGACAATGACGTTTAGTTGTTTACAATTTTTTTGACGTCACAATCATGGTGGACAGTGTTTTTAGTGTTTAATTAAAAAGCATAGACTTAAAATCTATTTTGCAAATTAAATGACTACAGCCATTTCCTAATTTTATGAAGTAAAATCGATGTATTTAAGTTCCTCATACCAAAAGTTATAAGAAATAAAAATTCGTATAGTACAAAATGACATGAATTAACTAGCTTATTGTATTTTAATATCTTTTCTACTCTGACATTATTGACTCTAGATATTATAAATAATACCACAAAACACGATTTAAGTCTTTGCACAAAACATAGTTATTTCATTGTTAAACCGATAGACACTTCGCACTAGGAAGAAATTCGAATGGAAAATCAGGCTGACTATCTACCTCCTACCACACTCTTCTTTAGATTTACATCTGTCTAGTAGTTAAATGCTTAATAAAAACAAATTTATTTACTCTTCTTTTAAAACGAAATACAAATATGATAAACGTGGAGGAAAAATAAACAATATTAATGAATCCGAGAGATTCCAAGTGATCATTATTATTATTAGGCATATTAAGTACAGCGACAAATAATTATCTAATAAATAATAAATGTTTAAAACAAATAGTTGTTAATGTCAATAATTACTTATATTCTATTTACTCATTTACATAGAGATTGCATTAATCATGCAATGCCTCATTTGTCTTTGTCATATTATTACTTTTTTTTTATTATATTATTATAGTTACTAATTAAATAATATAGATATATTATAATACCAAATACTGGTTGGCGGTCTTATAGCTAAAAGCCATTTCTTCCAGATAACCATGGGTATAACAGGTTAGACAAAGACTGATAGTTGCGGGTGTTTAAATGGCTTGCAATAAATAGTTACACCTGACAGCAAAACTACACATACATATAAAGTGTGGTTCATTGAATAGTATACTTACATAGCACCAACATATAATATGTTTCGTTCTTCACTCATATAGAGGGTGCGATAGAAGAGGTTACCACATGAGAATTCACGGATGTTATCTGTAACAATGAAAGATGAGTTATTAGTATTCAAATTTTCCATCAAGTATTTCAAAATTAGCATAGTTATCAGGATGTGCCATACGATCTATTCGAAATAACCAAAATAGATCATTAATATCTGGTTTTCTAGATGGAAAAATCTACTACATATTTTTGTTTATTATGCTTGCGTTCATACATACAAATGTCATCATCATATTGTGTAATTAGCGTTTAGGAACTAGGCACATACAATTTTAATTTGAAAAAATAAAATAAAAACGTGTTCTGCCAATTCATAATTTGTTTATGACAACGAAATTCTTACTTACGTAGGTATCATTTGGTTATACTGGACCTAATTATATGGGGTTGTTAAATCCGGTTATTGGCAGGTGGTCTACGGCGCACATGCAATCTCTCGTGACGTTACCACCTACCTCAAACTTTTCATAACGGTTGCCAACCCATATAAAAATAAAAAAAACTTACACTGTTATTAATTTTAAATAAACACTTGGTAAAGGTTCAAACAGCACTAGATTTTTTTAAATTATTATACACTGTGAATTTTGATTTACCTAAGAAACTAAAATCATATAAAAATTCTGAGAAAAGTAATAAAGAATAAGGGAACTACACCCCTACACTAAATTTGATTTATAACGTTTATAAAATTCCTATAAATTGTGCATATGTAAGATACCTAATACAGAATTATTTACCGATTAATTAGAATCAATTTATGACTACTAGAATTGTTAAGATGCCGCGGTCCTTTCCGGGATGTGGGTGAGAAATATTTTTGCCTGCCTTCTGCTGTAGAAACAGTGGCGTCTTGCTGCAAAATTATTTCATAAAGATATGACTGCTCGCCTGTCCGAGACCACGCGGGACCCAAGATCTAGTAGCTTTTTTTACATCGAGGTAACTCTGCCAGCCTTCTGGATACCATGCGCCGCACAGGTGAACTCACCGATCTTTTTATAATTTTTGTATCTTTTGTTGCCATTAAAAAACCAAAAAAAAAGTAAAACTTAATAAAAATTTGGGCAAAGCAATGAACAGGGATTCAATTTATTGGTGTGCATAAAAGTATATGAAGCTATTGGTTTCGGTTGCATTTGCAATTCGCATTGGGCTCTCTTGTGAATGGCTCTCGGTTATATGTCCGACTCTCCCTTTTTGATTCTGTCCACAGGAAAAACCGATATGACAACAGCAGGGATATAAATCAAAGGATTTTGAATACAGTTTTTGAATTTGAATATGACAGAATATTTTAGGTAGGGGAAAAGGAGGCACCTTAGCACAGGGGCAGATTTGAACATGTTGATTTCTGAACGTAACTTTATATTAATTTATGCCGTAACTACATTTTAATATTGGTAGCACTGGCTATGACAAACGTCAAGTAACAAAGAGCGCGCGTTTATTTTTCAAAAAGATTTATAAGCTGTCGTCGTATTTGTACCGATGAAGTAAAAAATAAGAATAAATGTTATAAGGGATTTACTATCACGTGAGTAAAGGTTTCCAACTAATTTTTTCACAAAATTGTGCAGTACTTATTAGTTTTCAACCCACCTTGTTGTTTTTGCTTGCCAGTTATTTCACATTATTTTTTTGTAATATTTTATTTTCCAAGTGACCGTGGGGCAGATTTGAACAAAGCAAACGGGGCAGATTTACGGGGGATTTTTAAATACAAACTTCATATGTTTTCTTACAAGTTTGATATTAAGTTTATTTAATGATTAATTTTGCGTCTGAGGCAGTATTATATAATAATACTAACAATAAACTAAAACTCTTGTGCAATATGATTACTTTTGTTAACAAGGAGGAAGTCCAACACAATGAAAATACTATTTTTATTTTTGTTACTGTAATACAAGATGTAACTTTAGAAGTTTCTTATAAGTTTATTTTATTACAATAAATATCATTATACTAAAGACAAATTATTACTCTATCCTCTCTTTTTTCTGGTTTTTAACCCATTGTTCAAAACTGCAGGAGGGAGGCAGATTTGAACAAATTTGTGTTTAAAAAAACACATTATTTCTCTTTAACGTTTTCAGCAAATTCAAACATTTCATCATTTTTATATTAACAAAGAAGTAAGTAAGCTAAGAAAACTATGTTTTTTCAATTTCTCTTTACAGTTGATTTTTTATGAGTTCAAATATGAGTGCTAATGTGCCTCCCTCTCCCCTACCTCGTCTGTTATATCTTATCACATTGTGAACTTTACACATTTTAATTAACCAAGTTTACATAAGTGCACGAAGTAAAACGTTCGTATATCATATTAAAAGTACAAAATAAGCACTCGCAGCTTAACATTCCGGAATGACATCCACACTCGACCAAACGCGCGTGCATATAGCAACCAAGCGGAGCGGGTCCAGTCCACCGGCGGCCGCTAGCCGAACGAATACCGCAGCGATTACAGCGCTAATGAACTCATTGTTTGAATATCTAACGAACTGTGTACAGCGATTTATATGAACACACCGGCGGCGACCCCGCGTCACGATCATGATCACTAATTAATAAACCCCCGAATTCATTGTTAAAATATACCTACCCGCAAGATAACACTGTTAAATCGTGTTATAAATTAATTTATACAAAATAGGAAATACGGGCAAATGCAGTTAAAATGTAAATCCAATCCATAATAATGAGGTGAAGTATCGCGCGACACCGCCCGCCGCGCTGGCTCTGATGACCGCATTATGTAGATAGCATCACCCCGGTTAAATACCGCAACAAGTAAACTGCCGAAGCAGACTTACGCTCTGTGAAATAAACTGGAATGGAGGAGTTGCAATGTTTAAAGCAGAATGTTTGCGACAGTTGCTGTTAATGTTGATTAAGTAGGTATGTACAGCTCGTACACGTGTCTTACATGATACTATTATTTCTATATTAAACATAATTTCTCATACTTTAGGCCCACTTTCACCAAAGTTCTGAAAACAAAATCTCTATTTGACTTTAAGCAGCTGACAAAGATGCAATATATATTATTACGTTTTTAAGCTTAAATTGCATTAATAACTTTGGTGTAAGGGGTCTTAGTGTCATTTGATTAAAATCTCATTCCCTGTCATCGATACAAACAGTTATTTCGCAAAGTTATTATTCTTATCGACTATTAAGGGTACCTACTCTACCCATAATAGGAAGTCCATCCATAAATAATTTAAGCCGTCTGTACCTTAATGAAGTAGGACTACAGTCCAGGGCTATACCTATACATATTATTATCATAATAACCAAAATTATTGGACGTGCTTAGATTACAGTAACGACAAACTAATGTTATCTAAATTTTGGTTAACGCCACCCCAAACCAAAATTAAGTAAATCAGGTTTCCTCTGTTCTTGTTCAAATAATGTCTGCGTATTTACAAAGAGCTCTCCAGTGTCGGCAACTCACAGAAGGAGCTCCGTGTGTTCAAAAAGAACAATTCTCGGGTAAACGTTTAACCAACATTTGTGATAGCTTGTCTCCTACCATTGTCGGATTTCATTTTATGTTTTCTTCTATATATTTTTTTCAGGTAATAATAAATTATGAATGATTTAAAAACAGGTCAACCATAAATACCCACATTATGTTATGATATTTACAGACGTAATGAGATGATAATAAACTTTTTAGGTGGTTTAATAAAATTCTAAGCGATGCTGGTTATTTTCTTGGTGCATAATTGCATTATAAAAATATAATTGCGTACTAAGTTTATTAAATATTTATGATTTATTATCAAAGAAGTTTTTTAAGCTTAAATGCATAACCCGCAGTGAGGTAAGAAGCCAGGTAATTTTCGTTGGCGCTCTCATCACATCACTCTAAATCACGAAGCTCCGACAGCTTACTATCGGCAGAAATACATCACCATGACAGTCTCCTGGAAAGTAGTGGATACTAAGACTAGGCGTTCCAAATACAAACAAATATGAAGTCTGATATATATAGGTATTTCTTCAAAAGCTAGAAATATTATATTACGCGTAGCCTCACATCCCTAAGACGTACGAGTATAATGTTACGATAGATCGCTAAAGCTCGACTAAGTTCCAACTGAGCAACTGAGCACAGCCACATAACATAAGTTATTTCTTTACTCATGTAGCACATACAGGGTTGCCATTAATATAGATGAGTTTTCTACAAATTAGAAAACTCTCAAGTAAAAAAATAAACTTTTTTTTATTGAAAAGGAGGAAGGGTATGATGCTCAATGTGCCAGTTTTTAATGTTAAGCTACTTACGGAATGGTCGGTCCTTGCCAAAAAATGTTATCTCGAACTCTTCCATGCTTCAGTAGGCACGTTAAAATGAAAAAAATGGCCAAATGTGTGAAGGTCTTAACAAATTAAGGACCAAATCTGATTTCTCGATTGTTGGTATTTGTTCGTGAAATACGTTGTAACAAAGATTTTACACACCACATTTCTTATTCGTAGATCAACGGGTAGTAAAAAATAGTAAGAACAACATTTTGTTGAGGAAAAATCTTACTCTGGCCTCTTGCTGTCGTCTGGCGTCTTATTTCAATATTTTTTAATAAAACAAAAAGACAGTAAATATATATTCTCTACTCAAAGAGCTCAGGACTCGACGGGATAGGTCAACCGTTTTAAAAACAAAAAAAAATACAGTAGCTTTGCGTCTACACGATGCTTTTATTTAAACTTTGAAAAGTTTAAGAATAATCGACTTCAAAATCTGTGTGAAAGAGGACTTACGGACAGACAGATACGTAAGTGACAGCAACAGGACACTTCTAATACGGCACCCTCAAAAGAACAATGAATATAAAAAATGTGCATATAAATAAATACGTACAATTTTATATTCTAACTTTCACTGCCAACCCTAATCATAGATATAATCGCTATCCGGAACACTGTGCGGATTCTTAGTTCTTTTGCTTTTCTCCAGTTCGCACATTGATTTATTGCAAGTGATAATATACGTTTTTAAATAAAACTAGCAT